ATAAAGGGACAAATAAGGAATATTACAAAATGCCACAGTTGTATTTAAAATGGTAAACAAAGCCAAAATACACAAGACAAACTCATATTGATTTACCTTAAACCTTGTAAATTTTGTAATAAAAAATGCTCACCTTTTATAGGAAGCCTGTTAGCCAAGTCATGAATTTTATCTGCTGAGGTGATCACAGTCTCCTGACTTAAAACAAATCAGAAAGCACTACATTCTATTATTGCTTGTCATTGCAGTCAGAAGCAATATGTAACAGTGCTAAAAAGAATCTGCCCAATACCAGCTCAACTATGGTGCTATGGATAAGTTGTTATACAATGATTGCCCAAAAATCCATTCAAAATATTTTTAATGCATGCTTATGGCTTAATAATCCAGAGAGTGTGCATAGGAATTCCACATTGATTACTTATAAATTGTACAACCACAGTAGTTTACTGACCTTTGATATAGTTTAATTTTCTCTGATTAGACATTACCTATCTACATGCTTTTCATGATCAATCATTGCAGATTCTAGAACATCAGGCAACCTGTCATTGCTCTTTACCAATTTCCAGTCTGCATCCTGAAAACAAATAATAAGTGTTTTAACGAATAGAGCTAAGCCATTAACAAATATACAATATATATATATATATATATATATATACTATATATAGCTAATATATAGTATATACTATTATACTATATATATATATAAGAGAGAGAGAGGCAAGAGAAGGAGAGACGGAGAGGAATGATGGGACAGAGAGAGAGAGAAGGAGACAGAGGCACAAGAGACAGTAGACAATGAGCAGACGAGAGAGAGACGAGACGAGCAGCGAGAAGAGAAGAGAGAGGAGAAAGAGAGAGCAGCAGACGAGGCCGAGAGGCGGGCGGCGGGGGGAATAGAAAAAAGATTTCCAGTGAAAGTGAGGAATAATATTTTTGCAGTACTATAATAGAATTCATCAGTATTCGTTGACCGTTAAAATTGACAATTTATAAATGCAGAACCATACCTGAATGCTGTTGCTAGACACAAGTGCCCCAATTAAACACATGCTGATCTTCAGCCACAGATATGTCTCTGGGGCAGATGTGCTCACAGCGCCACCTAGTGTCAGACACTGATGGTTCATTGCCTTTGGGAGGAAAATCATAGTAAACAGGGTAAACAGCACGACTGTTAGCAGAAACGTCGATTTCAAATTAGAATTACATCACCATCATCTAGACTTTACAAAAGGGGTGAACATGTGGAAACCCTGACGTTAATACAACCCTCAGATCTTACATTTCTGAAGTACCTAGTCCGGCCTTTATATGCCGAACTCTAAAAGGGAAGTGTGGAACACACAGCCATACTAATAAATTGCTACAACAAGCAAATTTTTGCGGGATTTTACGAGATTTAACTGGTCAGAATAGGTAATATACCCAAGTACAATGGTGATAATTTGAATAATTGAACACTTAGCTATGCACAAATACAAAGATGGAATTAGAAGTGAATGGTCCTGTATTTGTGCTTTCATGGTGTGAAACATACAGGGCTGTATGAAAAATTGGTGCTCACGTTTTCTACCCAGATATCTGTTAGCATAGAATCTTTTACATAAAAATATATATATATATATATATATATATATAAGTCTATCAGTCCTTTGTGAGTTTGTGCACAGTGGCGTGCTGGTGCGGTAAGATTGTGTGTTGTAAATGCCATTTACGAGAAAATAATCGTCAATAGACAATATATTAACATGAGGAATTTGGTAGCAAATACTCTTTGTGTTGATTTAACATTGTGTTATTATTGAAATGACCCATGTGCTGGTGCTTACACGATCACTTGTAGCTAACTTTACTGAATACTGTCGTGTAATAAAGAATTTATTGTCCATTTGCAGTAGTGCAGATATTATACTAGTTTGGTAAGTCTGTGCATGAGTATGTGTCAATCTCTGAGTGTGAACACTAATGCTCATAGGGTCTATGTCCCCCAGGGTACTGCCGGAACGTACCCTGGTAACTATCTAGCTGATATGGTTAGGGTTAGGGTTAAGGTTAGGGTTAAGGTTAAGGTTAGGGTTAGGGTTAGGGTTAAGGTTAGGGTTAGGGAGTAGGAGTAGGCAACTCCCTAGACTCGTTAGTGGAGTAGGCGAGGTACGGTCCGGCATATTAGATAGTAGTAGGCCTATTTAGTACCAGGGTACGTTCCGGTATACCGGACCGTACCCAGGGTACGTTCCGGCAGTACCCTGGGGGACATAGACCCTATCAGCAACACTAATAGCTCTATCCGTGCAGTCTTTCGCTCTACCACAGTTACAGATGACAGTGCCAGTGTGTGGCGCAGGGAATGGTCACGCTGTCACTGGTGCAGTGGTGGAACAAGTACTTGAAGTAGAGGGTTTGACACAAATACTGTCACTAAACCTGTACACTGTCACCTAATAAGTTGGGTTGTACTTGTAACCATATATACACTGATCAGTGTCACTGTGGAATGCACAGTGCATTGTAGTATGCATGTATATAATATGTAATTTACAGTCTGTGTATCGTCTTTACGCGGTTACTGTACAGTGACATTGTAGTATATCGTAGATATAGAATGAAGATATGAAGAATGAAGATCTTTATTATATATCTATGGTACTATTGCAGTATTGTGTAGTGCAGTGACTGAGTCACAGCATAGATATAGAAGAAGATCTTCTTCTATATCTATGGTCACAGTCAGTGAGTAGACTGTAGTTGTAGTCTTAGTTAGTCTTAGTTGTAGAGTGCGTGTGCTGCCGACTGTGGAATTATTAATATAGTAGGAAATTAAAGTTACCGAGTGATGTACACACAGTAGTTACCTTTTAAGTCTTTTACAGTTACAATGTCACCTTTATAGTTCGTATGTACTAGTATATATCTATCCATGACATCAAGATATACGTGACAGATTCACACAATTGGAAATATTTGTATTTCCCACATGTTGCTAGACTGGTACCCGGTCCCACCTATCGGCTCGAGGGTGTAATCGAGTGGAGTGTGATAATCCATGTGAGTAATCGAGGTGGGAGCGAGCAAGGGGAGCGAGTACCAGTCTAACATGTTGCTTGCAACGCCCTCTTTAAGCTCAAATTCATCGTGACAAAAGACCATCGCAGTAAGATTTTATTCCGCACAAGGGCTAGTGATTCCGGGTTAATCAACTTAATTAAGGTGGTCTGTACTCATATTTAGGAATATTCTTGGTTGATTACGTATACAACATATTGGCATATGTCATTTTGTATGAAAATATAAGCGATGTGTGAACGGCAGTAGGTTATGCTAACGCCGTGAAACGCGCCCATGAACAAAAAAACAAACGTGCGCTGGCGAAGCAGTCCGAGCCGACGCAGACCCCAGTAATAATGAGCCAGTAATAAACCCGCACCCTCAGATTAGCAAAGCGAAGTTATAACGTCTGCATTTGCAGACAAGCGAAGCACCAGCACTGCCACTACTGCACTAATAGTAGTAGTAGTACTAGTAGTAGTACTACAGTACAGACAGAGCAGACGGTGAAGAGGTCTCTTGTACTGGCACTGTGATTAGTACAGCCTGTGGCCTGTACTAGCCCTTCGCTCCGTCACAGACAGGCAGGTAGAGCCTAGAGACTAATAATAATACTACTGTTCATGTAGTTCTGTAAGCTGGTTGTACAGAGTAAAGTTAGCCTTTACACACGAGCGATCTTGAATGCAATTGCAAGAACCTGAGATAAATTTTCCAGACAAAGTGAAATCTACTGTGTGCACCTACTTGCCAGGCTGAGTGCCCAGGCTACTGTCCTGTCTTGGTGACAAATCTGTCTGGCAGAGCTTTAGAGGATTGTAAATAATTTCTACTACTCAACGGATGCATTTAATAGGTGATAGTACGATTAATAGACGTTATCTCTATGACGCCCTGATGTCTTTGCCACATCTGTTGTTACACAGGTGAACCTGCGCACGTCGATGTGATGGATCAGACTGCAACGTGACAGATCGCAGCTTTCCCCGGCAGCGTCGTAACCGCATTCTTGCTACGGGATGCTGGAACGCACGCCGGTCCACGCTAGCATCCTTCCATCGCATGATAGCCGACAAAATACTCGCGCAGCAGCGACAGCAGCAGCAGCCGAGACTCACCTCGCCTCCTCGTCGTCGTCGTAGCGACCCACACGCCGCAGGCGGCGCGCACTCGCCAGGAGGGGGCGCCGCTAGCGAGTGCGCGCCACGCTCGCATCGTTAGCGCGATGCCGATCGTACGTTTCCACGGCTACCACGGCGAGAACATTGAGCTGCTGGATAATGGCACGGTGGCGCACCGCAAGTCGAGCTTTGCGCACGCGGTGACCTTCAGCGAGAAGCCGCTCTACCCCGGCGACATCTTCCTCCTCGAGATCGAACGCAACGAGCGAGGCTGGAGCGGATACATGCGCCTCGGCCTCACGCAGCACGACCCCAACTTCCGCTTCCCGCTGCCGCAGTTTGCGCTGCCGGACCTCGCGAACATGCACGCGCGGCGCTCGTGGATCTTCGCGGTGACGAAGACGCACAACCGCGTGTGGGTGGACGCCGATCCGCCGCAGGACGTGTCGCTGCACGACGGCATGAACCCGCACTACGAGTCGGTGCTCGGCACGGGACCGTACGTCGCGACGACACGCGGCGTGATCGCGCGCTCCATGCTGCGGCCGAGCGCGCGCGCGCCGCGCCGACCCAGCGGCGACGACCCCCACCTGCCGGACGTAGACAGTGACTCGAGCGTGGGGTCGGGGTCGAGCGTCGACGTGCTGCAGCGCGCCGGCGGAGGCAGCGTCCTGCCGACGGACATCGGGAGTCGCATCGGCGTAATGTACATTCCGGCGGGCGATTACGCGGAGATGCACTTCATTATTAACGGCGAGGACCAGGGGCCGTGCGCGACGGAGATCCCCCACCGGGAGGCGCCACTGTACGCGGTTGTCGACGTGTACGGCACGACGAAGCAAGTGCGGATCGTACAGCTTTACGGAGGTGAGCGATGCAGCATGTGTACACGCCGGGTGGTTCTCCCCAGGGCTTTAAAATGGATAAACTTCCGAACAAAAAGCCTACATACACCTACTGTGAGCATAAATTGCAGTATGCAAACATTACGAAATGTTCTTATTGAGCCAGAAAAGTGCAGGGGTAGAAATAATGAGAAAAAAACAGATGGTCCACAGGACCATCTAGTTTGAAATTTAGATGGTCCTCCTAAATTTGAGATGGTCCTCTTAAATTTTAGATGGTCCTCCTAAATTTCAAATTGTTCTCTAAATGTAATGCGG